TGTCTCTCAGTTATTACTTTCGTATCATGTCCTCTAGATATCATCCACTAAAGCACTATGTAATTTCATCAAGCTTGGAGAGATTATATGCAGCTAGATCTTCTCACGTCCCTCCATTTCATGCCCGCATGCGTTCACTCATTCAAACTCTTAACATTTGCGAATCACCATCGCAATCAACAGATCATTTTCTCATACCTCCGTGGAACATCACACCATATAAATTTCATTCCCCTTTTATGATGTATAATAAATCTAACGTCGATCCCATCATTTATCAACAACTGTTCACTTCTCATCGTCACCAATATTCAGAGTATGTCCCTGTGTTTACTGACGGATCAAAATCTGCGGGATATGTAGGCTGTGGTGTCATCATCGCTGATGATGCCTATAGCTACAAAATCCCAGATATTTGCTCCGTCTTCACTGCTGAAGCAGTTGCCATTCTCTTGGCATTGCGACTGATTTCTACGCGCTCTACAAGGAAATTTTGCATATACTCAGATAGTATGAGCGTTTTGCGCCAGTTGGAAAATTTTAACAGTGAAAATCATCCGATTTTATGTTTTATTAATCACTTGTTGATAACCCTTCAAAATAGATTTCATATTTTATTCTGTTGGGTACCGAGTCACGTCGGTATTCCAGGGAACGACTTGGCTGATTCGGCTGCACGATCTGCTACCTCAGTTTTAACTTTATCTGTACCTTTCTCGGACACAAAAACTTATATTCAACAGTTCGTCACATCTGTTTGGCAACAGCAATGGGATCTAAAAATTTATAACAAGTTGCACTCAATAAAAACAGATTTTAGCCCTTATCCTGTATTGAGTCTGCGGCATGCAGATGTAAAGTTAAACCGTCTCCGAATCGGCCACACTAGGCTGACCCACCTACATTTGTTATTTGGGGAACCTCCTCCCCAATGCAACGCCTGCAAACTTTTACTCACTATTCATCATGTTTTAATCATCTGTCCATGTTTTAACCGTCATCGTCTAACCTTTTTTGGTAGTTCTATTTTAACTATGCGGGATTTGTTAGGTGACTCGCATCATCCTAACATTTTTGCGTTTCTACGCGCAATTGGTCTTTTATACTGTATATAACTGTTTTATCCTATTCACAATTTTATCTGATCTTATTCAGCTTTGAATGCAACTGTTTTATAATACTTTACTACATTTACATTTTACCTGATTTTACTCACTTCTGAATACCTCCTTCACGTTGTATCTAGTTTTATAAATTCCGTGTGGCTTTTAATGAGGAAAATTTGTAATATACCTTTATTTTAAAAACGTATGTTTGGCGCAGCATGTCCTTCTTAGGACTTTGTGCCATTAAACCCTACATTCAATCAATCAATCAACTGCTAGATTTTTTAAAAATAATTTTTAGAAATAAATACTTGTTTTAATAAAACTATACTTAGTTAAAACATATGTTTATGATTTTTGCGAATGATATATATATATATATATATATTTTCTATTTTCAGTAACGGTAAAAAGTGGAGCTACCGAAGAAAACTATTAACACCGACTTTTCATTTTCGAATATTAGAAGATTTTGTACCAGTATTTTCTGATCAATCGAATATTCTTGTTTCACGTCTTCGTAAACTTGAGAAAGATTCATGGACTGATGTTGTTCCTCTAATTACTGCTTGTACTCTAGATATTATTTGTGGTAAGTGTCATAATATACAGGAATATTTTTAATGGGGTTTAAATTTAACCTTTCATCTGAACCTCTAGACTTCAAATGTCTCTTATTTAGGAACTTTTATCCACCGTAAAAGTTCATATTTTTAGTTACTAATAGAAAAAATGGTTTAAAAATTTTAAAAGAACATTTTTTTGTAGTTCTTAAAATTAAAATGCAAGTTAAACGCAAATATTCCTGGGTAATTTTGTAATAATTAATTAAATATGTCATATTTAGGAATTACCACCACAAGTGTTAGAGATTGTAATATGTTATAGTTGGTGTCACGTGACTGACTGCTGCTGCTTTCATTTAATTTTTATTGTTTCACTTCTCTTTTTGTGATGGCAACCTTCTTGAAATATTTATGTTGGTTATTTAGTGTTCGAATAAGTTAGGTTTTGTAAATATCACTAAATTTAGATTGCTTTAGAATTAATAAATGTTTGTTAAGTTTTAATTCGTATCTGTTTATTCATCTGTAGAACTTGTAGTTCATTTGAATAACACTAAAAGGCGTCTGCAAAATTTATTTGTTTGCTGCAATTTACAACAAGTTTACAAAATATATCAAGGTGTACTCTTTTTGAAGGTCTTATTGATTTTTAATTTTTTTTAACAAAATATAGTTCTACTTTCCCAATTATTAAAATTTTTCTTTCAGAAACAGCTATGGGCGTAAGAATAAATGTGCAATCCGGTGGATGCAAAGAGTACGTTCAAGCGATTCATAAGTAAGTTTTTAGGAATCGAATTCTTAGTTCTTTATTTCTTTTCGTTTTTTTAAAAATACGCATTTGCTTTTTTCTAAAATTCTTAACATAGTTTATCTCGTTTAAACGTAACCGCGTATAATGATTTTAGAACTCCCCTTGTTTATCAACAGATGCCTAAAAATTGTTAGTTTTTTAAAATACATTTTTTTAAAAACTATTTTTATTTTAAATGCATTTTATTTTAGGTAGGGGTGTCTATTTCTTTCAAGGTTAATTCAAAGTACACGGATCAATAAGTAAAATTAAAAAAAGTCATTGTCTCCATCGGCTTCTTGTCACTCAGTACCAACTGAACTATAGCTTCTGCAGCAGGAAAAAATAGTAGCTATCCATAATGACGGGATGTTGTTGTTTATGTTTTTACAAAGGAATAATATTAGATAAAGATAAATAAGATTGCAGAATTAAATTTTTGCATGCGTATGTACGTCTTTACTGCACTGAAGTATGTATTTCTTATTTCAAGAATTGAACTTTTCAAAAATTCTGCAAAACTGTGAAGTATAAAGAAATTGATCCCGCAGTGATCGTAAAGACCCAGTAGAACACCGAAGTCAAGCATCGCTGGCTGCGTTCAGTAAGTGGGTGGATCACCACTTTGATCAGCCTGCGGAAGGACCGAGGGTGTGTGGTATCGATCCTCGTTAAACTGTTCTACCATAAAATGCTTTACTTCGCGGTCGTCACAGCCAGCAAAAATGCGATGGCATGTTTTCTGATCATCTTCAGGGATGTTACCCAGACAGTCGCCTATAACCCATTGTGCAGACGTAAACTAAGTAACTGTAAACATTTAGTGCGACGTAAACTAATAAAAATAAAAATTAAAGAAATGTTTTGAATTTTTGACTATTAAAAATTTTTTCACGCAATCTAAGTAGTTATTTTGCTACGAAGTTCTATGCTGAATTTTTTTTTTTTTTTTACCAACTCAGCCAAATGCTAAGTTTCTAAGCAGAGCAGACATTTTTGAATGGGTTTAAACCTGGAAATTCGATTTGCCATGTCACAGGGTTGGTTTGGTGTGCTCAAATGGCTTATTATTATTACTTTTTTTATTTTTTGAAAGAAAAAAATTATAATTTTGACCCATAAACCGATTTTGGGTTTTCTCAGAATTTTTTTTCCTATTGACATATAAAGTATACATGAGAAATGGAATAATATTTGTAATAAAATTTTTTAACAAAAACTCATCGTTTTATTAAAAGAACGTTTAATTTTTATCAGTTTCCCTGTTTTCTCTACACTTAGATTGTGTACTGTCACTTCTAAAATTTGGATTATGCTGTGATTAATATATTAACTTTGGTAACAGTGTTACCCAGGTTAAAAAAAATCAATATAGGAATTACTTGAAACATTTAACATTTCCGACCAATTTTATTAAAACTCAAATTTTCAAACAAAAACAAACTCAAATACATGGACACCTGGACATACTGGCATTCTAGGAAATGAATTAGCAGATCGGGCGGCAAAATCAACAGATAACCTAACTAATCACAAATCAACGTTATCAGATGTTAAAAATGTTATCAAATGTACCTTGTATTCAGAATGGCAAAGAAACTGGAATAATGAGACAAATAATAAACTACATAGTATCTATTCTAGCCTACAACCTTATACACATCTTAATCTACCTCGAAAGCTAGAAGTTGCTTTAAACCGTTTACGTATCGGTCATACTCGTATTACTCTCAGACATCTTCTACTAAATGAGCCTGCTCCAGAATGTTCCCATTGTGCTCACTGTGAAACACATTTTAACCAAATGTAGCAAATTTAAAATTCAGAGACAACGCCAATTGGGTTACTTTAATCCATCATTGATTTTATTAATTGGTAACAGTCCCCACGACAACATTTTCTCATACCTCAAAGCCATTGGTTTTGATACATCAATATAGATATTTAATAAAAACCAAGTTGTAGGTGCGATATAGCCACAACTGGCTCTTGCGCCAATAACTAACTAACTAACAAATTCGATCATGCCACTAGTTGAAACTTTTTTATTCTATTTTTAACGTCTTTTTTAATTCTGCATACCCATCTGCGAATAATGATTTTGGCACATTCATGCCAATGGTTTTAGATTTTTCATCACCTAAATTTCTTCTTCTATGGTTTTGTTCATTCAAGTTTGAATGAAAATAATCTAGATTGATATTTTAACTGTACTTCGAACAGAAATTTTCAACGCCATTTGCTGACCCTAATCTCTTATTGTTTTAAGGTATGTAGTAATGAATATCCATTCTGGAGCCAGTTTTCCCCAAAACTCCTTTCAACTCGTCAATTTTTATGGATTTTATTTCTTCTTCTGAAAAGTTTTTGTCTTCAGAAATATCTTCACTTGTAGTTGGATCTTCGTTTTCTTATTCGCAATCAGAAACTAAGTATTGATTGCATCTTTAAATCTTACGTATGTATACTAGGTAACAATCAATGGATCACTTTTTATTAAAGGAACGCCGCCTCTAGGTTTAAGCCTTTAATTTGGAATAGTAATCATAGACATAATAACAGAGAATGGTGAGAAAGGATGATAAATAAACATTAAATGTAAATACTTTAAAATTAGAAATAGTAAAATATTTTGCATGCAAACAATACATTTATAACTATTAATTTGACCCTGATGACAATCATAGAAATCTAGATCTTCATGCGAGAAAAATTTATCAATCCTACCATGGTATCCTTAATCAATAAAACTGAGCTGACAAAACGTTAAACGTTCTTATGCAACATAGAGACATAAAAGCATCTAAAAATTAAATTTTTTTTGTCTGCTGCAACTTTTTAATCATAAATATTTATCTGTATTACATAAAAATGCTTATATGCACAGAGTTAAGTTTTAAGATTTTCTTTTATTATTTGTAAATACATTTGTATCTTTAATAAGATCCATTCAAAATATATCTATGCTGGAACTAATTTTTTATATATATTTCTTACCAAAGCAATGTCTTTTTTTCCATCAATAACTGTTGGTTATAATGGACTTTCAGGTGAATAATTTCTCTTAAAAATCGGCGACTGTTTACAGGTTAACTTACCGCTCTTTTCTAATATTCATTAAAGTTTTCAAAATATTTATTAAAAAAATGTTTATTTATTGATTTTGTTGTTTTCTTTCTAGAATCGGTGATATATTCTTATTCCGCATCCTGAGGCCTTGGCTTTTATTAGATTTCATTTTTAAACTTACGCCATCTGGTAGACAGTTTTTCAAAAATGTAAATGTTATTCATCGTTTTACTAGAAAAGTAAGTGATTCGTCACCAACATTGACTTTTTTTTGTTATTATTAAACAATTTATTACAAATATATGTGAATTCCTATCTTTACTCGTATGTGGTAGATTTTTTAGTTGAAAAACTATATTTAAAGGTTTATACGATTTAAAGTCGGTAGTGTTACACACAGGAAATTAGTCTTGTAATTTTTGCGATTATATTTTTTCCCCGTTTAATCGAAAGGTTCCAAACAGGAGTCAATAGAACCTAAACTTCAATATTTTTTTTAAAAGTACTATTTTGATGTTGCATTGTACGAATGAATCACTTATAGCTTCTAATTTTATCCACTCATTATTTATTTCATCTAAGTAAGCTTACTTTACATGTGCTTTAACTATCCAGATAATTAAATAAGATGCTTAAATAAGTACAAGTATAAAAGAGTATACTTTTAAAAGTTAAAAGTCCTGGCAGCTTCTGAAATATTGGTCCTATTTCCTCGCGTGTGGTCTTGTTCAATTCGGCTGGGGAAAAAATCCATCGAGTAAGCTGCCTTACTTGTTAGATTGTTACAACCATTAAGTTGTTCTTTTTTCTATATAAAAATCTTTATAACTACTTAACTATTGATCGTTTCGAGATTGGTCTCTTTTATGCCTTATTTCACTAGTATGCAAATTTCTTCTCTCCGCCCCCTATTTATCAATACTCGAAGCGCAATGTCCTGTAACTTTTTACCCTAAAAGGTTCACTTTTTATGTTCATATAAAATCTCAATTTTCTACTGTACTGAATGTAATTAATTGCGAGAAATAATATTAATAAAAAGTCAATTAAATGAATAATTTACTGCTAAGCAATAACTCGATCAGTAAAAATATTAAATTTCGATTTAATAAAAAGAACTAGCTTATACTAATCAATTTGATACAATGTTATACATAGGTCATAAGAGAAAAGAAATCTGAAATGATAGAAAATAATCATTTAGTAAAAGAGTGGAACGTAATTGCCAATGACAGCCCTTCAAATACAAGCCGCCGCAAAGCTTTTCTGGAATTACTGTTAGAGCATCACATTAAAGATCCATCATTTACTGAAGAAGACATTAGAGAGGAAGTAGACACTTTTATGTTTGAAGTAAGTTTTCTAATACAGTATTGTATGTGATAATGAAAGTATTTGAATATTTATTCAAAGCTGTATTGGTTGTTTCTGAGGTTTTTTTTTCCAAAGCTTTGCTCATAAAATAATATTAAAAAAGTAAACTGCATACAAAGCCACCTTAATCAGAATGCCTTATTTATTCTTAACAATTTAAGAACAAAATTGCTGAACTCAAATTTAAGTCTTACACTTTTGTGTATAAAAGATCACAAATTTATAAATTACATAATTGTTTTTTTTTTTTTTTTTTTAAGTAACAAATATAAAAATAAGCGTTTGGTATATAACAATAATAATCATTGTTGTGAAAACAAAAAAAAAGGTAGGATTGGTAGCTTTTAGTGATAAAATAAAGTATATTATATTACACCACATCAAATTTTATTCTGTGTATCATTTTGTTTTGGAACATTTAAAAAAAGGAAACTTTTTAGGAGCAGAAATTTAGTTTTAAAATTTATTTTTAGGGTCATGATACAACAGCTATGGCCATTTCTTGGGCATTATATTTCGTTGGATTAGATAAACACGTACAGGAAAAAATACACGAAGAATTAGATGGAATATTTGAAGGTGATAATGAAAGAGATATTGACCGTGATGACTTAATGCGTATGAAGTACTTGGAATGTGTCATTAAGGTATAATTTAATTCCAAGACTTTAATATCGAATTATTGCAATTTCTAAAAAATAAATTTAACTTTTTCATGTTTTGATCTAGGAGACTCTTAGATTACATCCTTCAGTGCCTTTCATAGGTAGAGAAGTTAGAGAAAATTTCAAAGTGTGTAAGTAAAATAAAAAAATACCAATCTTACAAGGTATTTATATTGACAGTGAAGTAAAAATTCGGTAAGGAAATATTTTCTAACACTTCAAAACTTTACTGTCAGCCCAAGAAAATAGGATAATAAAATAAGAAAATAAATAGCCCAAGAAAATAGGAGTACATTCTTATTAACATATCATTTATTGATCATACACGATTTATGCAATAATTCCTTTTGCTGAATGAATCAGTGTCTATTTGCTCCAGTTACAGTATAAATTGTGTAATATCGTTTAATTTGGTGCAGTAGCTTGTCACTTTTGCTCTAGAGACTTTAACATTCAACTAAGAAAAAATAATAAATTAACCAAACAGCAAATAGGGCTTTTCAGAAAATTATATGTACATGAAATTTATCTCTTCCGCTTGACTTTTTACTTATGCTCTATCATTTCAGAGTTTTACTTTTTTCTCTATCCTTTAGTACGTAATAACACTTGTGTTTGAGATGGTGTGGACATTCCGTTTTTTTATCATTAAATTCGACATTAATACGATGAACTTAACATTTTTATCTATTCTCTTTTTCACTGCGGTTAAACAGAAATTTTTACATTTAGTGCAATAATTTTTATATAATGATGTATTTATTTATTTTACATTGATATTTTTTTTAAAAATTTTATAGTGGACTATGAAGTCGAGAAGGGGTGCACTTGCTTTATATTTACATACATGCTTCATAGAGATGCCGAAACATTTCCTAATCCAGAAAAGTTCGACCCCAAAAGATTTTTTCCCGAAAACGCAGCGGGAAGGCACCCATACGCCTATGTGCCTTTCTCAGCCGGGCCAAGGAATTGTATAGGTAATGCCATGAATATACGCTTACGAACTATTATAATAAAAATAAAAATTTGTGTTTTTGTCTATCNCCTTGGGGTAATAATTCCTTTTACTGAATGAATCAGCGTCTATTTACCTTAGTTGCAGTATAAATTATGTAATATCGTTTAATTTAACGCAGTATTGTCACTTTTGCTCTAGAGATTTTAACATTGAACTAAAAAAAATTAGTTAATTAAACAGCAAATTGGGCTTTTCAGAAAATTTAATGTACATGAAATTTATTTCTTCCGCTTGACTTTTTACTTATACTCTATCATTTCAGAGTTTTACTTTTTTCTCTATCATTTAGTACTCGTGTTTGAGATGGTGTGGCCTTTCCGTTTTTTTATCATTAAATTCGACATTAATACGATGAACTTAACATCTTTATCTATTCTCGTTTCTCTTTTTCACTGCGGTTAAACAGAAATTTTTACATTTAGTGCAATAATTTTATGTAATGATGTATTTATTTATTTTATATTGATATTTTTTTTTAAATTTTACAGTGGACTACGAAGTCGAGAAGGGGTGCACTTGCTTTATATTTACATACATTCTTCATAGAGATCCCGAATCATTTCCTGATCCAGAAAAGTTTGACCCCAAAAGATTTTTTCCCGAAAACGCAGCTGGAAGGCACCCATACGCCTATGTGCCTTTCTCAGCCGGGCCAAGGAATTGTATAGGTAATGTAATGCCGTGAATATACGCTTACAAACTATTATAATAAAAATTTGTGTTTGTGTCAATCTTATAATTGCATATCTTTCTTTGTAGTAAGTCTTTCTTTGTATGAGTTGAACTTTTCTTGATTTTATAACGTAATACCACCGAGAAAAGCAACAAACATTATTAAGAAAATTTAAATTAGTTTTTTTATACAGATTTGCTTTTTATTTATGATGTATTATCTTCGTATTCGAATATAATACCCGTTCGAAGAACAGAACTGGTTGTAATACAAACCCCGGAAGGAAAGAAGTGATTGTAAATTTTACACCTATCAATGAATTCTAACAATAGATTGTATTGTGATCGTAAGTTTGAAATTCCTAGCATATTTTATGCGTCTTGTTTCGGAACCAGAAACAATATTTTGTATAAACGTTTTTCTCCAGACAGAAAAAGGTGTATTAAAATTATTAGCTGTTTCTGCCGTACGAAATTGGTTTGTGTTTTATAACAACATTTTTAGTTTGACACGAATTTTTTTAAGTTTTCAGCAATGTTTCTTTAAAAAATATTTGTTAACAAATGACAAATGCCTATAAAAATTTTAAATGAACATACTGTTTCAATACTTCGTGAATGTTAATTTATTATATTTAATATATTTATATTACATTATTTCTCCAATGTTTCCAGGTCAAAAATTTGCTTTAATGGAGGAAAAGACTGTGCTCGCAAACATATTCCGGTCTTTTGAAGTAACATCCAAGGACCCCAGAGACAAAGTTAATGTTTATCCTAGCCTCGTTTCTAGAAACCTTGAACCGCTCATGCTACGATTCACACACCGAAATACAAGATAAATTTCAATTGAGACAATTATTACTGGAAGGTACTCTAAAATATCTCTCGTCTGAATTGATTGCTTGATTATCAAGTCACTTAAACGGCTATTGGACTAAGAAAATACCTTTTTAATGAACATAAAGGTAGGCAGGTACGCTATTTAACCTACATTTAAAGAATCAGTGCAGTGGGTAAATAGAATCAATCCTCTTTGCTCACTGTATTACAGTAACAATTTCTGTATTAACTGAATATGCAAGTTGTGATAAGATTCAGTATTTGTACTCGGTCATATTTATTTGTATTTTTTATATCATGTATTCCGAGCTTCATTACTGTTCTGGGTTTGAATTGTATTTTTGTGTTTTGATTGTTATGTGATTAATGATGTAAATAATTCTTTCTATTGTATTTATTCTTTTAATAACTTCATATGACAAATCAAGAATTTGTTGTGATGTTTGAATAAGATTTGTTTATTGTAAGATGAAATTTAATAAATATATGTGACTGTTTTTTTATTTATTTAATTTCAATAACACATGCGGAAGCAAAAGACATAGCATGTACAAGTTTTAAATGTTTGGTCAAGATTCTGTTAAAATATAATGATAATGATTCAGTAATTTTAGTAAACATATATTGATTACTAAATCTTACAATTATGCCCATTTTCAAACTTTAAATTTTTTACAGTTAACATTTCAAGTTGAGGCCAGTATTATTGTTTAATAATAAAAAGAAACTCATTACCTGTATAATTTTTATGTTTCTGATTTTCCTTTGTTGCCTTCTGTTATGCTTTCTAAAATCTTTTTGCGTCTGTGTAAACTTTCTAGACTCCGGATTGGCCAAGCGCGATTGACTTAACTACCTTAGCTTTTCGGGGAGACTTCATGTGCAGTAACTGCAACTTTCATCTAATGATTAACCGTAATTAAAGGGAAATATCACAGTAGAAGCCTGTATAAAGAAATGTTTCGTTACACGTAGGATTTTTAAAAAAATTACATTTTCCCTTAAAATTGTAGGGTTTTGAGAAAAAAATTCAAAATGACCTAAAATTAGAAACATTTTCGTGGATTTCAAAACCAGTCTACCCAATTTGAAAATTCTACGTGCAACGAAAACTTTATTTATTGTGAAACATTGTATCAAAATTTGAAGTCAATCGGTTAAAAATTCTTTTAGTTAGAGACTCAGCATGTAAAAGAAGCATAGTTTCGAGTAAATGGCGTTTAAAGTTTAGTGATCAATAATCCATAAAAACATATAGAGGCATAAATAGAATCTGAAAGTTATGGAATAATTTTTAACAATTTAATGACTTGTCACATTATTGATGAATAATGTGTCAAGTCATAATATCATCTTTGTGTGCTGTTTCTTCAAATGCTTTTTAACCATTCTTTAAAAATACCAGAATTAATCAACTCTTTTTGATTGATTTTCTCTGTCACTTGAATACTTAAAACTTATACGTAGTTTCTTTTAAAAAGGAGTTATTCCACCTCAGATCAATCACTTTCGGATCGACCTCTCTCCGATTTTGATGAAATTTGGTTGAATAAAGTAAGCAATTCTACCAATTTTTAGTTTTTTAGGTTAAAAATCGTCCAAATTATGGACATTTGAAAAAATAAAATTTTCATAAAAAACGACAAACTTGCACACAAATAAATAAATGGCTGTAACTTTTGTTCTAATTATATCAGAAAAAAATTTCAAAAACCATTGCAAAGCTAAAAAATAGAGCTTTTGTTTGATACCTTATATGACCTTCTCAGGCTAGGTCAAACTTTAAAAGTGACCTGAAATATCTCGAAACATGTAGTCTCAAAAATTACGAAAAAAAATGTTTTTTTTTTTACTGCAACATTCTTCTACACATTTACAAATTTATAGCTTGCGGTCTCTATAGGAAGTATATAAAGAATTAATAAAAGCGGTATGCTGTACAACTTTTTTTTCCATCTAAGACATTCAATAAAATGAATAAAAGACCTAAAACAATCCATGGAAAAGTAAGTAAAAAACCTGAAATTCTTAAATCAATACATAAAATTGCGAGAAGGGATATTTTTTACAGCCCAATCATATAACTTTCGCGGTGTCATGATTTGATCATTATAATAACATTGAAGGCTGGAACGTGCAGCTTGTCTTTTGATGGTACCTGCAACACTATCACATGGACTTTTTCCGTGGGCCGTAGGAAAGAAATGCCACTCAGCTGTGAGATCATAGTCTATATCATGATAGCACATATGTATAAAGTTCTTTCGATTTTTGTACTGCAAAAGCTGCTCCATCTGAGAAGTAATAAATTGATTTTGATTTTGTTATTAAAATGTGAGGTTATAAGCTGCAACAATTGGGTCTGAAAAAGGTGAACACTGACAGTATCATGCTTGAGACATTCCGAAATGGCAACAAAGGAAACATGATCTAATTTAAGTGTTTCTAAATTCATATAGTCAATGACTATACTGTGAATAGGACACTGGAATTTATTCCAATGGTATCCTTGGACTGCATCCTGTAATACAAAAGAATAATTCTCAGCAAAATCACATATCACTATGCAGTCATTATCATCAAGTCAAGGAATCCTTTAAGGTTTGATAAAAGGTATGACTGTTGATTAGTATTGAAAGAATGAGGTAGAAGCATTCTCAGTTATGCTTCAAATGTTTCAAGAAAATCTTCTACATTGTTGTTAACTGTCGTAAGCGTTGTGCGGTCAGCAGTAGCCCACAGTTTATACATAATCTCGTCTATTCCGTTCAAAAGAAACACGTTGTTTATTTGCTCTAGTATATGTGTAATTCCAGGGCAATAATCACAATTGAAAAAAAAAAGCATTATTGAAGAGGAGGATTGCAAACCATTTTTGATAAACAATCTTTGTATGTTTTAAATGGTAATTCTTCATAGTGAGTTAAATGCAGTACTTTGCAACCAGGTAGCATAAGTTTTACATTTTCATGAATCAGACAGACACAATGGGTTCCACTCGCACCAGCCAGCACACAATTTTTCGGACGCAAATCACAGAATCCAACTCCAACATTGGAATTTTTGCCCTTGAAAAATTTCTTTAAGATTTCCTAAAACCAGACGCTCTTGTTTCTGTATTTTTAATCCTAATTCAATCATTGTGACAAAATCTTTTTTTCCCGGCAAACAATGACTCACCTCATCTTTGTTGTGATATGCAACGATATTATCGATTGTGCTGTCAGTAGGAATTTTTCCTGGTCTGGGATTTGGGCTTGTTAAAATACCCTGGTCTTCAGCTAGCAGTTTAGATTTTCGTGTTACATAAAATGTTGCATTAAATTCTTCCTGAATTTTACGAATATTCCAGGTTTTAAGCAATATCGTTAGTAATTGGAGCTTGAGTCTGTTTCTTGAAATTTTTCTTTCAGCTGTGAAATCATAATAGATTCATTAGACATTGTTGCAGAATTCATGCGTTTTAGATAGTTGAAAAACTTGAATAGGAGGATTTGGCCGATGTCTCCCACTCATGATTGGTATATGACTAGTAAGCCGGGATGGTCGTTGATTCTTCCATGCGACAGAAAAACCAATACTTGCCTTTCACGCCTTGCCAGTGGACATCTAAAATGTCTTACTTTTTCTCAGGGTATAAAATCCAACCCTCTTTACCCAAAATGTCATCAACATCAGGCTTCAGCTGAACATATTTTAAGCTGCTTAGGACTTCTTCGAGAAGAAATTTACACTTCTCCCGTCCTTGTTTCCGACTTTTTACTCGTCAACTGGACATAAGTAACAACAACAAAACTTTTCCAATTTTATGAAAAAAATTTCCACTAGTTCGACTCCAGGCTATAAATTTTACAGAAGTTACTTTTTTTATTTCAATTAATACAAATTACCAACATTAATTAAGCATCATTGTCGCCAATAAAAGTATGACGATTTTTTACTATTGTTCTAGACAAATAAACACCTTTACTTCATTTCTTTTGTTTTGTTTTCTTGTATATTGCTTATTTTTTTATTCCAATATGCATATATTACCTTAATTAAGCCTCATTGGTGTCAATTATTTATGTTTCTCCTAAACGAATTTGTACCACTTTCCTATTAACACGTTGAATGCCACGCTAATTTTACATGTCTTGTCCGTCTGGCCAAAATTATTTTCTAGTATGAGTTGCATATTTTGATGAAATCATATTTACAACAAAACAGTTAATTTTTGTAATCATTCGTGACACATTTAATTCACTGAGGTCACTGGTGACCCCCATGGCATTCAACGTGTTAATTTTTGCTTTTGAATACATAAATATTTTTTTCTATTCCATTACCGTTGGTTTTAAATAAGTAATTATATAGAAACACGTTTAAAAGCCCCAACACACTGCTCTGCCCTGTGCTTCAGGTAAACGAGAGGTGCATATTGCCCTGTGTACATCAGTCGGCGAGTCACGAATGTCATCTGTTGGCTAGGGTCAAACCCGGGGTCACTTACTGGGCACCTCGTTGAGGGTGGTGGCTGCTTGAGGAGAAAAAGGCCCAGTTGGCTTTAATCCTTAATAGAGAGTAAATCATAAAAATGAAACACTATTATCCCATAACTTCATTCTTCCTCTCAGATGGTATACTATCCAAACATTACAAATGACTCCTATTCCCTTTAATTTAATTATGGATACTCCTAGAGAGAGAAAAGGACCTATGGTGATCCCCGACTCAGAAGTATTCCACCCCTTATCCTTAAACTTGACTATAAATAAGATAAACTCATGTTTGTGAAAATTGCAACACCATGAAGGACTTATGCGAGTGAGCTGAAATTTTCAGGAAATGCAAAGTAGAACATGATATGCAAATGATTAGAATTTCAGATCCGTAGCGCATGCGCATGCCGAGCAGCGCCCTCTGAACGGCTGATGGATCCAAATAAATAGACGGCTGTAGCGAGGAGTCTATGGTTATCGGTGGTTATCTGCTTGTGGTAAACGCTAGCTTAGTCGTTACTTATGCCTCTTCGACGAAAAAGAGTGAGATTTCAACAACTTACGTAGTTTGAGCGGGGGAGAATCATCGGCCTTCGTGAAGCTGGATTGCCTTATCGTGCAGTAGCCGTTCGTGTGCAGCGTAACAGCAGCACAGTAATGCGTGTTTGGAAACAGTGGACGGACGAGTGTCAGACAACTCGGAAATCCGGGAGTGGACCCCGAAATGTCACGTCAGCTCGCGATGATAGACACCTGGTCCGCATGGCGCTGACGAACCGTACGGCTCCCTCTAGACAACTGGCAGCACAGTGGTCAATAGCTACAGGTGTTTTATTGTGTGCTTCATCAATTCGTAGACGTTTGCTGCAGCGTGAACTGCGCGCAAGGACTCCATTATAGAGGATCCCCCTCACACTAAACCATCGCCACCTGCAATGGGCCAACCAGCGTAGGGACTGGCGTGCTGATTGGCAGCGTGTCGTGTTTTCCGACGAATCTCGCTTCAATTTGCGGTA